AATGAGCACTACTTAGTTGTAGTCATACCACTCCTTCCTCACATCGTCATCAGATAAAGTCCCTCAAAGCCGAGCTGAATATCCAACGGATAGAGTACGAGGCCGAGTCGGAGCGCTCCGCTCGATTGTCTGAGCAACTCACGCTGCAGACCCGAAGAGAGGAGGAGAGAAAAAAGTAGTGATTGTCGAAAATGCAATTTCATAGGAATTTGGGTGTCCGAAAATATATATCAACTAGGCTTAGTTTTGTAGAGGTTGCCTTTAGGACTATTGTAGATTTAATGTAGAGGAACATCGCGGCATTTTGGAGGATACGCGATAGATACCGAATATAATAGCATACCTACGGCCCTGTGATAGCAAGCTAGAACAGCAGAGAATGTAGAAAGATACAATTACTAGAACCAAATTGATTCTCTTAGTTTGTGTGAGGTTTGAATGCAGTTTTTGGGGTCCCGATGTTAGTCATATTGTTTCGAATTTCACGTCATCGTGGCTCTCAATGCCTGTTTGCCTAGCACAGGGGGCGAGAGTCATCCGTAATAGCAAACAAAGAACTATGTCGAATGTAGATTATTTTGATTACGTCGATTCTGTGTACTGTGATGAGATTGGTAGAGGTAGAAAATATAGTTGTTGTAGTAGGGAAGTGGTATGAGAATCATGTAAGTGTTGGAAAGTTTGTGATTGTGTGGTTTACGTTGTTGCCTCGAAGGCTGGTAGAAATTGCCGTTTGGGGGGTTCGAACTTGGGTTGCAAGGTCATTAGCAAGACGTCCCTCCCTGCTGAGCTGTATGGTATGTGACTTAGGCAAGTAGAGTTTCTGGTCGAGCAGTGTAAGAAGTTGCATCACTTGGCCGTACATCGTGAGGAGCAGAGGAGGCTGGTCCAAGAGCAGCTGGACGAACATATGGAGGGAACTGATACGAAGGATTTCCCAGAGGTGTGGTATGGAATTATGGTGAACCCCGGTGTTAGCTTTTTCAGTGTGGGATTGTATTTTCGCTTTCCGCAGCTGAGCTCCAGAGTTTCATCACTCACTATAGATGTTCTTATATGAATTCGGGTAGGAGTGTACAGAAACCAATAAATTTCTCCCTTTTTTTATTGGAATTTTCACATTTACCAACACATGTGCATATTTCCCCACACTGTTCGCCATAGCTCTCAAGACTTAGCCAAAACTCTAACGCATGGGAAGCAGATGGTCTGAGTAACGAGCACTGCTGAGTTTCAATTAACTTAGCACATGAAGTTGATGACCATGTGCATCCCATATATGCTTTGAAATGTCGGAAGATTATGTTTAACGTAATACATAAACATTAAACATTTAACATAATATGTTATGATTGGAGTTTCACCCGTGATATGAAAAGCATATTCCGAATTTGATTTCGCGAAAAACGCATATAAGCAGTGAATATCGCGTAAAACATGTGATTTGCTTCACGTGTGATTCGCCAAGTATTTCCAGTTCACTTCATGTAGCGAAAATCTCGTTTTGACGCCACTTCAAGTAGAACAGGTGAAACTCTGTCGTATCAGCAACAAAGGTGATTATATGAGGAGGGGTGATGAGCATTTTGTTAGGTTTCCGGCCAGTCTATGGTAGAGGACAGCACGACTAAGCACGACTGCATACGGGCTACTATACTACGGCAAGAGTTGAAAATTCAGGAAGTATGATGAGCAGTGTTTGAGGAATATAAGTTCGCTTTCCTCAGCTGAGCTCAGGAGTTTCCTAAACTGACCATACGAATTCGGGTAGAAGTGTACAGAAACCAACAAAAATTTTCCAAAATTTCCTCATCACCAACACATGTGGTTGACCACTGAATATGACATCATTTTATATGCATTTTCCACTATGGGAAGTCATCGCTGAGCTACTCGTGTCAGACTGTGATCGAGCAACTTCGGAAGGATCTCATTGATGCGAAGGCGACTATAGTAAAGCTGGAGGTTCGCTTAGTGGATGCGGCAACTGAAGAGGAGGAGGAGGAAGCAGAGGTAGTTGGTAGTGTGGTGGCTTGGAGAGTGATGCAGATTGGAGTCTTAATATTTTAATATCACTCCACGGATTGGTATAGTTGGAAGCTAGCGTGAAATGATCGTCTATGCATATATACTAGGGTGAAATGTCTACTACACGCGGCTGTGCTTTTGGCTGCAGTCGAAGAAGCACATTATCGGTATTTTTGGCTATCATACTCATTAGTAAAACAGAAATGATTACAGATTCTGAATCTACGCAAAAATTCTCTATCGTATAGTTATATCGGTTTTCTCTGTCAGTTTTGAACGACACTATATCTCCAAAATCGATCACTTTTTGACTGAAAAATAAGTAGTGTTTACCATAGATTAACATATCACTGCAGCATTCTCGGATTGGTTCATTTTTTCCCCGAATTTTTGGTCAATCTTGCACTTTTTTTTCGGGAAAAATGGGAAATTTTCCAACCTTTTCCCGACAATGGAGTTTCACCCTAGTGATATGGAAAACACTAGTCAAAAATATATTTCACGACTACTACAGGCCGCGAATATCGAGCTTTTCACAGAGTATTACGCGACTTCATGTAAAACGGGTGAAACTTCACAATGTAATGTAACCACATGTAAAATGGCTGGTCATTTATAAAACGTATTAATTTGTATTAACGAGGTTGATTGCTTTACATGATAGTAGAGTGATATAATAGAGTTCAGTAGTAGTGTTATCAGCTAGTCCTTGTGGTCACCAACAGGTATCATCAGTAGGCTGCAGGGGCGATGTGGAGTCGGTGGATTCTAGTAGTGAGTGTCAGCAGCAGCAAGGGCAGCAGCAGGAACAGCCTCGGGTCAAGTTGACTATATCCTAATAGTTGTATAATGTTACTGTTGTTATACTACTACTACTACTACTACTACTACTACTACTACTACTACTACTACTACTGACATGTAATATTCATGCTATGAGTGATGGATTTGAGTTTGGTATTCAATATAGGATTGGGCAGCGGGAACGGCGGTCATTCAGCTTATGAAAGCATGGAAGTCGCTGGTGGCATTGTAATAATTTTGTGGCGCGCGACGGTGAGTTATTCGGAGTGCTCTCACCAGCATGAGAAGTGAGCGGAGTGTGGTGGTAGTAGTAGTAGTAGTAGTAGTAGTAGTAGTAGTAGTAGTGGTTGTTGTTGTTGTTGCATATTCTTTCCCGAACTGTTAGGAGGAGGACAGGTTATAGACTGTTGTACAGTCTCGTCATACACTTCTCAAGGAATCTTGAGGGTCTCGACTCGATCTTGAAAGCTGCTGCGAGCAGTTGAGAAGTATTCATATGGGCAAGCACATGCGTCGCCGACAATGTAGAAATTCTGAGGAGGTTTTGGGAAATTCTTGTTGATTTCTGTACACTTCTACCCTAGTTCGTGTATGAGTTCCTGAGCTTAGCTGAGGAAAGCGGACGTATATTCCTCCAACACTTTTCGCGGAGTCTACGAAAACTCACACTGCGCCAAGTTGCCTTCCTTTTAGTGGTATTGAGATCGACTGGCAACATTTCAATCAGTGGAGTTTCACCCTTTTTACGTGAAGTGGCGTAATACTCGGTGAAAAACGCGATATTCGCGGTGATATGCAGTTGTCATGAAATATATTTTTCACTAGTGTTTTTCATATCACTAGGGTGAAACTCCAATGAGCCTGGAGGAACCGCTCCATCATCATTTTCTTCCGAGTAGGGTCGTGTTTGTGAAATGGTGAACGTATCTATATAAAGATTAACCCATTTAAATTCAATGGCTAGCGAAGAGTACGACATGAATAGCGCACCGTGAAGATTCCGCTGAACGATGAAGTTTCACCCGTTTTACGTGAAGTGGCATAATACTCTGTGAAAAAGTCGACATTCGCGGTGATATGCAATATATTTCTCACTAGTGTATTTCATATCACTAGGGTTGTGAAACTCCATTATGAAATCTAATATCGATATTTTCAGTATGTTGCACTTCTATCTGTGATGTTGTAGTTTCTCCGCATTCATGTTAGCCGCTCGAGCATGCTCACGTCAAGAAGAATCTTCACTACCTTTTTCATCTGTCTCTCATCATCCTACGTCCGCTTCTGACACTCAGGAGTGGTTTTTGGATGGACCTGTGGCATCAATGATAGTCGCTTATTTGCCGGAGCCAGTGCGGTCGTGGGAGACTCTGACGTGTGTGTGCAAGTCGTGGGCGGTCCGGCTTATCAACTGTCGAGATACGGCAAGTGAGCGGGCGAGATGGTCTATGAGCGTTTCGTTGCGGCCTCGAATTTGGCACGCACTGCTTCTCGATGAAGATATAATGACGAGGAATATCGAAGAGGATTCGATGGCTTATTACGATTCCTGTTGGCGAGCCTCTGCAGAGGAGGGGGATAGTAGTGTTGCTGGTCAAGTCTGGCGCGATGTTGTGCGTACCGAGCCGTGCGCGAGTTGTGTTAGCTGTTTCCATCATCGCCTTTGGAGAGTGCTAATGGCGACCTCAGAGAGGCTCAAGTCGGTGGGGTATTGCCAAGGGATGAATTATGTGGTTAGTGTTCTATTGAAAGTTAACTATAGGAAAATTGGAATGGTACGCAAACGCAGTGATGATAGTGAGGACGAGGATCAGCTGTGCGTGGAGGAGGCGGCTCATAAGTGGGGAGAGGCCGTAGACTGTCAGGCGTGTCCAGTAGATGAGCCTGAGGTCATGACTTTCCGGAGCGCTGTTTCGCTGCTGGTGCGGTATCAGATGGTGAGAATGTTCGAGTTGAGTGACAGGTTCCGGCTTTCTCTATGGACGTTTGACCGTCTTCTTGAGGCCTCGTTGCCGAGGGTTTACGCTCTGCTGAGGGCGGCTTTTGACGGTCTGGGAGTCCCCACGTCATTTTATGCATCGTCGTGGTTTCTTACGTTGTTCGCATCGGATTTGCGAGATGAGGAGGAGGCTAGTGAGAGAATCTTGGATATGTTT